GCCTGGCCATTTTTTGGTTGCAGCCATCATTGTTGTTTGGCAGGCCCGGGCTGGGGATTCGAACCCGCCACCTTAGGTGTACATGGCTGGCGCCCTAGCCACTTGAGCCATAGGCGCCGATCCTACTAATTATATTTGTAAAGAATCTATTTCAAAACAAGGTTATGCTCTGGTACTGAAGAATAGGACTTCAACTTATTTTTAGGACACAATTCAACCCCTAACACCTACCATCACTTAGTGATCTAGGAAAATGTAATATTTGATCTCCTATTTACTATTAACCAAAGCAAAGATTCTAATTACAAATGTGGAAGGAGAGATGTTAACTTCTAGAAACTGATAGAATGAATATTTTTTAAATAAAGATGCAAATATTTCTGATCAGTAGGAAAAACAGCCTTAGTGGTTAGTTTTATTGTCCAATTTTGTATCTAAGTTGGTAAACTTATTCTGGCTTCATTTCTGTGTGTGTGTGTTTAGATAAACAGATTATAGTTTCTTGAATACCTTTTGAACTAGTTTCACATTCCTACTGGTTCTTTTATTTAAAGAGTTATTTAAAATTTTGGCACGTTTACTATTTGCTTAAGAATTATGTTTTGAATATTAAAAAATTATGTTTTGATACAGTGAAAGATGAGAGCAAAAGGATAGTTTTCACACAACATGACTTTGACAAAATTAATAAAGTATATATAAAATTATGAACCCTCTTTTTCTTTTTTTGAGACAGAGTCTCAAGCTATTGCTCTGGGTAGAGTGCCAAGGCATCACAGCTCACAGCAACCTCAAACTCTCTTGCCTCAGCCTCCCAAGTAGCTGGGACTACTGGCGCCTGCCACCACACCCAGCTATTTTTTGGCTGTAGTTGTCATTGCTGTTTGGCAGGCCTGGGCTGGATTCAAACCCTCCAGCTCTGGTATATGTGGCTGGTGCCCTAGCCACTGAGCTACAGATGCCAAGCCTGAACCCTCTTTTTTAATCAAGGAAGAAAATAATCAACATCCCAGTACCAGTGCTTCTAACAACAGTCTCCCAACACTGGACACCTCTCTTCCGCTAGCCCATTCCTCACCTACTCTTGAGTTGAGGACCTGCGTTCCTACTATTTGTCCAGCTATGCACTCAGTTTTAAGCTCATCTGGTTTTCCAAGCAACACATGAACCACTCTGAAAGATTTCTCAAAAAAAATCCCTGCAAGTGGTTACTTTTACCTCATATTTTACAGTTCAGAGTACTAAGGCTCCGTGTCAGAAAGAGTAGAAAAGACAGAATTTTGTTTCAGGTTGGAGGCTCTTGCTATACTTCCTCCCTTACAGAAAAGCCAATGAAAGGCCAAGGTGTCCTAAAAAAGGTTTGCTTAGTGGTAGGAAAGGGACGTAAAAATAAATTAGCAGGAAGGAATGATGTATCCAGAAGAATGGGACTGCTATAGTTTAAAAGAATGATTTTTAACTGCTGGTTAATTTAGTAGGCTCTGATCAATATTTTTGTCAATGAAATGAGACACAATAGAATAAAATAAAACAGAAAATATCAAAATGTATTACACATAGTATTGTTATACAGGAAGTTTGTGTACTGGAGTCATGATGTAACACGTTAGTTGTTATTATGAGCCTTCACCAAAAGCTTTAACCTCTCTGAAAACACGGAGATCAAGGATGCTAATACCATGAAGACAAGTGTGGATGGAAGGCTAAGTGAGCTGACCAGAGCACTGCCATCTTCTTCCTGAATGCCTTCTGTGATTGCCTGACTGCAGAATATACTTCCAGAATGTAATTCCTGCCACTTATGAAAAGCCTTTATGCTGATGACAGAACTTTTTCAAAACTCCTGAATCAAGGACTTTTGCCTAGAAACCCTTACTCTAAACAATGAATTGTTTTAATAACATTCCCCCACCAATCAAAATAGTAGGTTGTAAATGAACTGGTAACTATCAACTTCTTCATATTTCTTTAGAAAACCCTACCCAAAATGAGCTAGTCAGGACATGATTTCATATGCTTCTGGAATCTGTGCTCCTTGAATTACAATTTAGTTATCTGGAGAAAAAGAATATCTGACGCTGGGCAGCGCCTGTGGCTCAGTGGGTAGGGTGCTGGCTCCATATACCGAGGGCGGCAGGTTCAAACCCGGCCCCGGCCAGACTGGAACAAAAAATAAACAGGCGTTGTGGTGGGCGCCTGTGGCCTCAGCTACACGGGAGGCTGAGACAAGAGAATCGCCTAAGCCCAGAAGTTGGAGGTTGCTGTGAGCTGTGATGCCACAGCCTTCTACCAAGGGTGACAAAGTGAGACTCTGTCTCTAAAAAAAAAAAACTGATGCTTTATAACACATATTTCAATGATTACCAATCCTACAGTGTACCAATGCTCCAAAAATCAGAAACCTTATTTAAATAGTAACATACAGTATGCTTGTGTTATATATAGTCTTACCTCACTTATATTTGAATCTGTTATTCGCCCCTGTGTGCTCATTATTTTAATCAGTCTATCTTTTATGTTGGGAGGCAAAAGTTTAATGTCTGCGATATATCTGGAAATATTCTTCATGATGCACCAAAGACACCTGAAATACAAATATAAAGTAGTCAGTTACACTGTACTTGTACTGATTTCTAACACTTGGCTTACTACTGTTTCTTAGCACTTAGCTTTCATAAAACAATGTACATTTTATATGAATACTATACTTACAACTTCAGCTCGGTAAGAATGAAAAGCCTAGTTTGTGATCATTTATGAACAAGATGTTTTTCCTCTACATTTTTTCTCAGCATACCTCATTTATCAAAATGTGTTTTAGGCTGAGCATGGTAGCTTACTCTTGTAATCCTGGCACTTTGGGAGGTCAAGGCGGGAGGATTGAGGCCAGGAGTTCAAGACCAGCCCGGGCAATATAGTGAGACAAAACCACAGCTGCTGACACCATAACCTGCAGATATAGTCTCCAGAAATGTGAGAAAACAAATTTCTTTGCCATGCGAGATAGTTCATGTCTGTAATCCTAGCACTCTGGGAGGCCCAGATGGAAGGATCCTTTGAGCTCAGGAGTTCAAGACCAGGCTGAGCAAGGTTGAGACCCCATCTTTACTAAAGAGAAAAATTTGGTGGGGCATCATGGTGGGCACATGTAGTCCCAGCTACTTGGGAGACCGAGGCAAGAGGATTGCTTGACCCCAGGAATCTGAGCTTGCTGTGAGGTGAGCTAATGTCAAAGCGCTCCAGCCTAGGATAACAGAGTAAGATTCTATCTCAAGGAAAAAAAAATAGGCTCAGTGCCTGTGGCTCAAGTGTCTAAGGCACTAGCCACATACACCGAGTTGGCAGATTTGAATCCAGCCTGGGCCTGCCAAACAACAATGACGGCTGCAACCAAAAAATAGCCAGGCATTGTGGTGGGTGCCTGTCGTCGCAGCTATACTTGGGAGGCAGAGGCAGGGGAATTGCTTGAGCCCAGTAGTTGGAGGTTGCTGTGAGCTGTGATGCCACCGCACTCTACCCAGGGTGACAGCTTGAGGCTGTTTTGAAAAAAGAAAAAGAAAACAAGCAAACAAATTTCTTTTGTTTAAGCCACCTAGTGTGTGGTATTGTTTTTTTATAGTAGCGCAAACAAACTAACATAGTATCTTAAAAAATTCAGGTCACTCAACATGGAATGTGGGACATGCAGTGTCTTTTAATTTACTTTCTTTCAGCAGTGTTTTATACTTTTCAAAGTTTTTCACCTTTTGTTAAATTGATTATGTTTTATTCTTTTTGATACTATTGTGAATGGAATTTTTTCTTAATTTTATTTTCAAGTTGTTAATTGCTAGTGTACAAATTAATTAATTTTTGTATATTGACTATATATCCTGGCACCTTCCTGAAGTCATTTATTACTGTAATTTCTTTCTTTCTTTTTTTTTTTTTTCTTTTAGTCTTGCTCTGTTGCCAGGCTAGAGGGCAGCCTAACTCAAAGCAACTTCACACTCCTAGGCACAAGCAATCCTCCTGCATCAGCTTCCACAGTATCTGGGACCATAGGTTTGCACTACCATGCCCCACTAATTTTTCTATTTTTAGTAGAGACAAGGTCTCACTTTGCTTAGGCTGGTCTTGAACTTCTCTCCTCAAATGATCCTCCCATCTGGGCCTCCCAGAGTACTAGGATTATAGGTGGGAAGCACCACACCTGGCCATATTGCAATCTCTCTCTTTTAAATGTCTTAAATTTTCTAAACACAAGATCATACCATTTGCTAATAGTTTTACTTCTTCCTTTCTAATCTGAAAGCCTTATATTTCATTTTATCACTGAACTGTCTAAAACTAAACTGTCTAAAACTGTCTAAAACTGTCTAAACTGTCTAAAACTAAACTGTCTAACTAAAACTAAAACCTCTAATACAATGTTAAATAGAAGTGGGGAAAAAAAGTGGCAAGAGTAGATGGACATCCTTGACTTGTTACAGATCTCAGTCTTCTACCATTAAGTATGAAGTTAGTTGTGTGTTTTTCATAGTACTCTTTATCAAGTTGGGGAAATTCCCTTCAATCCTAGCTTGCTGAGTGTTTTTTTCTTTTTTTTTGAGATAGAGTCTTATTATGTCACCCTCGGTAGAGTGCTGTGGTGTCACAGCTCATAGCAACCTCAAACTCCTGGGCTTAAGTGATTCTCTTGCCTCAGCCTCCTGAGTAGCTGGGACTACAGGTGCCTGGCTATTTTTGTTGTTGTTGCAGTTGTCATTGTTGTTTAGCTGGCCCAGACCAGGTTCGAACCTGCCAGCTGTGGTATATGTGGCTGGCACTGTAACCACTGTGTTATGAGCTCCGAACCATGCCTGGCTATTTTTTTGTTGCAGTTGGCCCTGGCTAGGTTCAGTGCATGTGGCTGGTACCCTAACTGCTGAGCTATGGGTGCTGAGCCGGTTTGATCCTTTCATCATTTAAAAATGTTTCTTTTTATCTCTTGTAACTTTTTTTTTTGAGACGGAGCCTCAAGCTATCCCCCTGGGTAGAGTGCTATGGCATCACAGCTCACAGCAACCTCCAACTCCTGGGCTCAAGCGAGTCTCCTGCCTCAGCCTCCCAAGTAGCTGGG